CTATCTCTATAGTTCTGCTGCTATAGGCTTAGACTGCTGGAGGACATAGGGACCCCTTTTTCATCATTCTGCTTCATTCTATCGCAATAGTTACGCTGCTATAGGCTTAGACTGCTGGAGGACATAGGGACCCCTTTCTCATCATTCTTCTTCATTCTATCGCCATAGTTACGCTGCTATAGGCTTAGACTGATGGAGGACATGATGAGTTATTTTCCTCAAGCAGAGAACAATAATCAACATTAATCCAGAAATGTTTAACAGACGAATTAAAGCAGATTTTCTATCAGCTCTTAGAAGCAGGCTGATGTCATTTCCTGTACCATCAGATCAGGTCACGTCTTCTTCTCCTGACCTGGAATCAACCTGATTCTGAATCAGTCATGTGGTTCCTATCAGTGATCAGCTCCAGATGTTGATCTTTCCATTAGATGAATGTTTGCATCATTAGAAGAAGCTTCAGCTTCTAGGAGGACCAGCAGGTTCTGGTTCTGACCTTCTCAGCGTCTTTCATCCCCTCAGCGCTCCCCGTCTCCTCGTTCTGACCCACAGCCGGTTCCGACCCGCTCTGAGCGGCCGTAGTTCCGTCAGTCGGCTCCGTCTGGCTCTTCTCTCCTCCGCCTGCTTCCACGCCGCCCCCTGCTGGAGCCTCCAGGACCTGCAGGTCCAGGTCCGTCCCTCCCTCCATCTTTATGACAGCTGCATAGAAGCAGAGAGCGCGTCAGGACTACGTTACCCAGAATCCTCCTGCCCTGCTGCCTCTGCTCACCGGCATCCAGCAGCTTGATGATGGCCGCCTCGTGCTGCATGTCCAGAGAGACGCCGTCCAGCCAGCTGTTGTCCAGCAGGAAGAGGAAGACGTCCAGCCGGGTCTTCAGGGCCTTCAGAGACTCCGCCTTCCTGGCCGTGATGTCATCGGGGTGGTATTTGGACCGGAACCACTCGTGCTCCTTGTGCTGGAGGAAGAAGTCCTGCAGCTGCTGGCGCCGGAAGTCCAGTTTGTACTGGTTGTAGCGTTTGACGGCCTCCGTCTCGTCCACGCTGTCCTCCATGTTCAGCAGGAACTCCTGCAGGTCCAACAGAACCCGTTAGTTCTGATCTACCCGGCAGAACCGGACCGGACCGCTGCAGAGATCTGGAGACTCACCTTGAAGCTCCTCATGGTGGGGGGGCCGGGGGGAGGCAGGTCTGGATCCATCATCCCCAACCTGAACACAACATGAACAGAACCGGTACCATGAGCAGAACCGGTACCATGAGCAGAACCGGTACCATGAGCAGAACCGGTACCATG